GGGGTGGGGGGGGGGGGTGCGGCGTTCCTTAATTTTTGGAAGTCCTTTATATCAAAGCAAAAGTTGGCCTTGTGTATTTTAGAAACCATTGCCATCTGTGTGTAACAGTATCATCCCTCTAGCAGGCAGTTTGTGTACTGCCTACCTGCGTATGTTTTATGACATTATACTTGAATCCTACTCGTCAAGAAAACTAGAAATAAAACAGGTTTAGCTAATCTCGTTTTTCGAATTATAAAAACAGGCTGCCGGAATAAGGAGACCCGCATCTGAGATAAGTCCCAGTGTAGCTGAGGAAGCACTTGAGCAGCTGAAAAATCGGGTTAGCTCTCTCGAGATGGAGCTACAAGATGTTAAACTGAAGGTAAATGTATGTGTACGCCTACCTTTTTAATTTGCTGTACTTAAATAACAAGAAGCAAATTATTTTCATCTCTTATTTGTTTCTTGATTATGTACTTCCGTGCATGGTTGGCTGCATTTAAAAGTTTTACTTCGAAGCAAGTAACTAAGTTTGAATTAAACTTTATTTATTTATTTTTCAGAATAGAATGTCTGATGAAAGAAGTAGATTGACTGAACTCAAGCAACAAACCTCGCCAGTGAGCTCCAGGCAAAGAGTATCTCAAACTTCATTTCTTTCTGCTTTGGATCGATAAAGGCTGATGATCAAATGAATATTCGGGTTAGCTTTTTGCTAGCAGCTTCAGTGAAGGTGGGTTGATCCATGATGTATTGGGTATACACATCCATATATCGAAAGATGGAGAACAATGCAAGTTGTAAATACATAGTAAATTTAAAAAACTATAAGATGAAATACATGAAATTGTGATACTCTGTACAAAAACAAAGAGAAATACCTTATTCTTTAGCTAAATTTTACTTATTTATGTGACTTGTGCTTATAAACCACCGAAGAGAGAGAGAGAGAGAGAGCGCTTGATTTACATAAATACTCGTGAATTTGTGTGTTTTCAAAATGCCATATAATTTTAAGTAATAAGTATTTGTGAACGTGAGATGCCTAAAATGATTTTTTCTTTTTAAAAATTTATATGAAATGAGACTTCCAACTCCAGTTTTAAGGCATTTAGGCTTGATTTAATACCAAAACCAAGTCTTGAAAGATTAATTAAATCTAATTATTTCGTAGAAATTAAGCCCTTGATATCTTTTTCTTCAAAATTCTTTTTACTAACATTACCTCTCTCGATCAAAATTAATTCTAATTGATTGGTTTAACTTATTATATTG